AACTCTGCTCTCCTCTCCCCCTCAACCCCAATTCCAACTTTTTAAGACGAGGTTGGTGAAGAACGGATATACAGGATCCGGCACAAATAACGCCCCTGTTTTATTAGAAAATCTTTGATTACAAAATCATAAGCATGTCGTTCTATAACATAACAATATCACGCTCAAGCACACCATATGACATTTCAGGTGAAATGCTCAAATTAAGTCTATAGATTATTACACCCATGTTATTACCCTACCAACCACACTCAAGCCGGCCTTACTTCTGCCAGGCTCTGTAGATTCACTCATAGTGATTCGATCCAGTAATTCTCTCCCCTCCCTGACTCCCAGCACAGGCACAAGTGTTGGAGGCAGAACCGTCATCATAGCACTTAATTCCAGTTTGCAAGGGACGTCTTCTATGTATAGGCCTGCAGTTTGCCACCAAAGGAATTCACATTCGGAATTCACATTCACGAGATCTTCCATATGAATGGGAAAATTAAGCTGTGAGGACTCTAGTTATATTGACCATAGAATCCAAACAAAGGCAGTCTGTGCCACTCCTGAGTTCAAGGGGCAGCCTAGGAGATGTCGTAATATTGAAATATCTGGCATATTTCAATGATTTATGTGGGAACTGTGGCAGTATATTCGAAAGTGGGTTATTCTAGAAAATCAGAGATATATGACTGCCATAAGTACCCTATAATTTGAAAGGCAAGATTCCATATTAATATCTTTTGGAGAGGTTTTTAGCCAAGAGTTTTCTGATTAACCTTCATCAAAACTCCCATTTCCGAAATAGTCTATTTAATTGATAGTTAACTGAATTTATATTAGAACATTTAAAGTATAAAAATGTCAGTTAAGGATTAATTTATTGGCACTTACATGTAACTCAAACTCTATGGAAGGTTCTTTTCAAGATGTTCTAAAATGAACATGGCACATATTATTTAATAAGTCCTGTGCGACTTATATTTTGCATCTTGGTTTCCCGTCTCCATCTGCCTCCCAGAGAGTCTCTTTCTAACTAAAAATTTCAAGCCTCTAAAAATTTTTTTTTGGGGGGTGGTTTAAAGATGATAAATTCCTTGAGAGCAGAATTTATCATCTTTATCATTTATCATGCATATCTCTTCTGAAATCCTTTATTGATGCTAACGGAATGTATAAAAGAGAAAACCGTAAGGTTTTCTTTCCCTTTCAGCCAAATCAGGGGCTGAACATGTTGAAAGTAAATTATAAATATCTGATGTGCAGAAGGTCTCTATTTTACTTTCATGCTGTAAAGAAAAGTTCATGACAATGCTGACTGGGTGTTGTATCGTCAAAGCCAGGCTTCCAGAAATGAGAAGAAAACTTCTGATCCAGGTCAGCTAACCTATCAGAAATTGCCATTCTGGTCATTTATCTACTAAGAAAAAAAAAAGAGAAAAGAGGCCTGTTCCAATGCAACAGCTTTGCATTTGGGCTGGAAAATCAAATGCTAACGAGAGTTTCCAAATCAATTCCATAAGCGAAGTTTAAGCGGACAGATGTCTACCGCTCCTACTGTTTTGTTTTACTTTTGGAATCTACGCTTTTCTGGTGATAAAATTTCAACGCATGCATTTTTTCTTCTAAGACGCCTGTCCATACCTCTCCACCCAAAGCCCCAAGTTATCTGGATGTTGATGATACTTATTTGGGTAAATTTCTTTTTTTCTACAGGGGAGAAAACTTTGTGAATCTCCCACTTGTTTTCAGCCGACCCTGTCCTGCACTCTGAGATTTAAGCAAAAGTCCCTTTTCTTCTCTTCTTTCTGATGGTATTAGTTACCACCGTCATGTGGCCGAGAAGCAGAAAATTATGTCCTACTTTAGAAAAACAATTGAGCCTTTTCACTGAAATATTTATTCAAAACCCCATTCAATTCATACGGTGGCTGTCAGTCTTTATTTAGTCTCTCTTTCAGAGGGTATCTTTGATTTTGCCACTTTGACCCCAATTTATATCTCACTAGGAGAGGATTTAGATAGTGTTTAATACTTAAAATTCAGGTCCCAGGGCTCTGGGAAGGAGACTGACTTCATTTCTTAATCACACACAGGCACAGTTTTGTTGTTGTTTTAAAAAGATTATTTCTCACTAATGGGGAAAATACTATTTCAAAAAGACTTTTTTTTTTCTTTTATCGTTTGATGTACCGAGTAGGGAGAAGACAGGGAAAGGGGCCAAGAAATTGTAGCACTCACGATGGCACTGAAAGCAACTATATTTAAACCACAAATATCGGGACCTCTCCTCTGCCCACTGAGCAATTAATGCTGAAAACATCTGGAGCAGCCTAAAACCAAGATAATCCAGGGGGCATCGGAACAGAAACTCGGAGACGCCATGCCTTCCAGGGGCAGCCTTAAATCATATTATTTATACCACATTCCCTTAGTAGCCCACTAATCCTGACTTCGCATTTTTATAACCAGCGATTCACGGGCCCTGCTCCAGCAGCAGCTGGCTGGCATATCAGTTTTCTGTCTTCAAAATTTTTTAAGAAATGATAATAAAAAGAACATTCTAACACCTTTCCACACAGACAAAAAAGCTTCTGGTGTTTTATGTTGAAAAGATTTACTCTAATTACTACACACACACACACACACACACACACACACACAAAATCAGTAGGATCTCAAAACAAAAAATAGTTTTGGTTGGAATTTAGTACTATGTTTTTTTTCCCTCCTTGCCCACTGTTTCCTCTGCCGTAAGAGCACAAACAGATCTATTTCTCGTCAAAACACTCATTAAGGAAAATGGAAAAGGCTGTGGCTTTTATGTTCTTACTTACAGAAAGGTAGCCCTGATATGATTGCTTTTATTCAAAAAGCCCCAACTAGCTTCCTCCCCCTGAACCCAGCATGGCATGGCAGACATTTGTTGGAATATTTATTTACACTTAAAAACTTAATTGCTTGATCACCTAAACTGACCAGTCATAAACTGGTTTATGGAGGAGAAAGCAGCTCTGTATGGGGCATAAGCCGTATTTACACTTTATTCACTTAAACTAAAGTTGGGGCCTGGGATTCAAACCCTTGTGAAACTGACCACAATACACACTAATTGCCCTGCTTACAAAAATAAGACACTGGAATTTCTGAAATCCCTTTGTCAAATGTCTTTATTTACTTTTCCTAATGCAAGTTTCTTTGATTAGCTGAACTCTGCTGTTATCAACACTTCTTGCTTATCGGCTGGCCCTAGGCGAATGACACATTTACCACTCCTCTTCCTAGATAAGGCAAATCCCTTGTTTAACTTGTTCGAGAACAAACAAAGCTTTTCCCCCTACTCCTACAACTTCAGGGGCAGGTTTGGAGGGTTAATTACAACAGGGAGAATGTCTGCCTGTAAAAGCTCTGTTAGGTCTACCAGCTCTGTGCCAGGGTCTCGAGCATATTTTTCCCCTTCTTTAAAAAATGTTTCATTAGGACTTTCTCCTACAGGATAAAATGTGGGAGAGCCCCGGTTTCCTGCCACCCCAAGTGAAGTTGTTCACACTTTTCATTGCTAGGGAGGATAGGTCTAAGAGATCTGGTAGAGGGCTGGAGAATTATTTCGTAATGCTTAAGTTTCTTTGAGTTCTCTGGAAAAAAAAAATAAGCAGCATTTGGGGAGCAGCTGAGGATTAAGACGCCTTCTGAAAACGATATTCTTTTTGCCCTGGTTATGACTCTACGAAATACTGAGTCAGACAGCCAGCCTGCTGGCATCAAATGGTTATTGATTTTTCAGCTCCGAACCTGTTGATTTCCTGGCCCAAGAAGCAAGTCGTTATCCTTAAGAAAAGTTTCCGAGAGGGCAATTTAAATCTTGTCAGTGTCCCCTCTCCTTTTTCTTCTCTCTTTAGATAAGCAAGCTACCATGTTCTTAGGAAAACTCAATTTCTCCCAGTTAAACTTTGACCTTTTTGAAAACAAAGATTTAAAATGTCATTTTCAGGCTAATGCTCCAATGAATTGTCAAATAAAGTACTAAAAACATTTTGATAGATAGCCACAGCCATTTATCTAAATCACTGTCAGGGCTAAGATGCATCCTGCAGGCTCCCACTGCAGCCACCGAAGGTGGGATTTTCTGGGACTTCTGATCATTTCTCAATCCTGCAGCCAGGCTACTGTGGACCAGATGCGTGCCTCGGCATGGTGTCAGCAGCAGATAACCAAATAGTCAATTAAAAAAAAAAAACCTGGGCTACCCCACTTATATTTCCTTTCCTATAACCAACGTCCAGGCTCCTCACTGAATTGCAAGATATGAAAAATAATGGATGGCTCAGCCCAAGGGGTGTTCATTGCCAGTAGTTTTCTAGCAAAACAGCAACTTCTTAGAGCAACAAAGTGACTCGGAAAGGTGGCAGCAGGGTCAATGCTAAGAAATATTGCTTTTCCTTAGCAAGGAAAACATTGGAGGCTGCAGCTTTAACTGGTGGTTTATGAACTTCAGGAGCTGCAAGCCATCTCCATCGGGCAAAATTCCTTGCAAGGAAGATGTCATATTTTAATTACTTTGGACTGCTGAAACACACAGGGAGGGGCTGATAGATACAACTGGTAACTAATCCAAAGAACAGCAAAGTTAAATTCCCTCTGCATACATCTAAGTAAAAACTGCACAATGTGCCCAATTGCCTTACTTGAAGAATGTTTCAAAGTCCTGTGGTCACCCTCTACTTTCCGCCCCCCCCTCCCCCCCCACATATTTTTAAAACTGTTTTCAAGAGACGGTAAGGTTGGTAAGGAAAGGAGCGGGGGGTCGGGAGGGCTTGTTTGGGAAGAAAACATCTAACAGGAAATTTTCAGCAGAGGGGATCAATATGCACACGCCAGCATATTACACCCTTTCAGCATTAAATCATTAAATCCTTTGTCTTACTACCAGTGCAGTTTGTTGCCAATGTCTTTATTGCATGCAAGAGAGACAATTAATTTTTTTCTTGGTAGAAGAAGGGAAAAAATAAACCTACATTGAGCAGTGTGCCGATGTTGCCATTCGGTTTGGGTCAATCCACTGAAGCATGCTTTGAGAGCTTTCTCCTGGAGCATGCAGGAAGACGGGCTCGCAGTGTAGAAATCCAGGATTTGCCCAGGACTCACTGACAGAACATCCATACAGTCAAACATGATCTCCCCTGCACCGAATGTCTGCAAAAGTGCTTATCCTCTAGGTGTGGAGGCAAATGGCATAGAAAAGTCCACCCAACTCCATCAAACTCTGCCCCTTTTTTGGCACGTAGGCTGTTGGTCTTTTTCCCAGCCCCGAATCATGAATTATGACAGACAAGCCAGCTAAAAGCCTGTAATTGATCCAAATGATCATTTACCATTTTCCAGGCTTGCTCGGCCAATCCAGCCGGGGCGGGGGTTCCCAGAAAGATCCCAAGTTCTCCTTCCAAGCCAATGCCTGCAAAAAGCCTTCCGATTGCAGTCCGGATCCTACCCCGACGGTGCCCAGACAAGCCCTGCCCGGCTCGCTCGCGTCCTCGGCATCCCAGTCCTCAAACAGCTCGCATGGGGGAATTCTGGTCCCCCCTTTGGCAAAGAATAGACCCTCCTGCCTCTGAACAGCTCACTTCCTACTACTTCTGTCACACAGAATGAAAGATTGAATTGCCTAATATATGCGAGTGAACTTTCGGTGAACCCTTCCCGGGCTGCTAACCTTCAAATGACCCAACGAGTCTGACATCACCAACTCCCAGGATTCTCACAGAGCTTAGAAACTCCCAGCAGCCCTGCAAACGCAGACAGCCAGAGAGACAGGCAGCGAGCGAGCGTGCAAGCCGGCTCTTTCTTTCCCATTTCTCACCTTAAAAACAATGCAAGAAGTGCTTTTAAAACGAGCAGGGGAGGAGCCAGGACACCGCTCCTGGCTCACGCTGAGCGCCAACTTCTCTCCCTTTTCACCTTTTTATTCGCAGCCGCTTAGTTTGCAAGCGAGTGTTCCCCCATGCGGCCCCCCCCTTTGCCTCCCGCCCACCCTCGAGCCCCCAGCCCACCCTTTAAATTCCTCTGTGCGCCTCTCTGTCTGTTAAATTCCTTGTAACTTATGTATTTTTCCACTCCCGAAAAAGCACAGGCAAGCCCTAAACTGTAGAATAGAGAACAGTTACCCCTCAGGGAAGCCTTGGGATGAGAAACTTTCCATTTCATAGTGTTTTCCCCTTTATCCTTCTTGCAAGCCCTGGCTGAAGGCATTGCATTTGCTCTGGAGTAAAAAGCCAGCTTTCTGGATTCAGTTACTTTTTAAAAACTCCCAAGTCTATAGACAGCCGAGGGAGTAGTCAAGATTAGTTACTCCTGTTCCAAACACACACGTTGATATACAGGATTCCGGGTCCTGAGGTGAGCAAGGATTATACAGTGCTCAGGAGCATGGACGTGGGAGTCAAGCTGAACTGGATTCCCAATTCCGTTTGTGTGATCTGGGACAGGAATGTAACCTCTCTGGGCCTTAGTTTTCTCACCTGTAAAATGGGGAGATACTACTCACTACCCACCTCAGTGGGTTGCAGTGAGGACAAAAAGAAACCGTGCTTGTATAAGTTAGGATACAGCCTGGAACAAAGATTAGCTTATTTTTTTAACCACGGAAATAAAAGCCCAGGAAGCCCGAGACCTGCCTAAGATCATACAGCTCAGAATCTTAACTAGAACCCAGCTCCCTGGAATCCCAGTCTAATGCAGAAATTACTGTGCTGTTACCATAGCCTGGCACCCTGATAATATGTTGGCAGCCGCTCTGATCACACAATCACCACCACTGCCAAATTAAACACATATTTTGAAAACTGCTTAAGTGTGAGGGCCAGTTTTTAGCACTACTAGCCCCTGCCCAATCTGGCACTTATTTCGAATAGTTTTAAGGGAAAAAAAATTATTTTTGTACTTCCTACACTGACCCTACCTAGAGGAAGGAGAAGCTTTTTAACCGAGTCTGAAAACATTGAGAAGGACAGACGCAATGGTTGCAAATAAAGTCAGGCACACAGAGGGCTTTTGAGGGGAGAGCCCATCCACCCTGCAGCCATTTTGCATAACTTGCTTACTGTACCTCTTTAGAGGAGACTCTGGGGAGGAATTAAAACACCCTACCCCTTCCACCACCTCTCTAATATTTACTTATAATTCTCCCACAAAACAGGGTGGGCAAGTGGACAGGCTCCTGGCCCCTTGCAGGGAAGGACGCTGCTCCAGTCTCCCTTTTGTGGACAGTGCTGGAATGTGCATTGGCATCCACGCTTTCAAAAAGCTTGTCAGGGGGCACCCCGCCCCTCACTGAACTGCTGCTCTGTCTAGCAGAGTTGCTAAGTGGCACTCCTGGAGTAACATGAAAAGTATGCATCGCACACACTTACCAAGTCAAAGATCCTTTTATGAAGGTACATTAACACAATTTTCAGCACAGCAAGCTGAGTTCTTGCTATTGAAAAGTTCAGGGTGATAAAGGGGTGAGATTTTGCTGAATCTACGTATTTGTTATTTTCTCTCTCTCTTTTTTATATGGCCCTCATTTTGTAACAGAGCCGTATTACAGGCAACCCTTTAACACAAAGAAAACACACGTTTTTAGCAAGGAGCATGGCACAATTTACAAAACATTTAACACACTGTCGTTAAGATAGTTGTAAAGATACACAAAGCACCATATTATGTGGTAATTTCTATGTGGTCCATGAGACTTGTAGCTCCAAATGTTTATTTAAGGTCCTCAGAGCTCCTTGGAAACTAGGCTTATTTTGTACCTGGGACTGGAAATGGACAACCAGTTGTTTGGGGAGAGAGGAGGAAGCATCTGTATTTAAAGTACAGCAGGAGGAGCTAAGAGATGAGACACAAGGCAGCACTGCCAGTGTGGGTGGGTGAGCATCTGCAACCAGGAAAGGCCGTAGCATCTCCTGACTCCACACCCTCCCAAAGGGTAGGGTGCCTTGGTGGCTCAGGGAAATGAGGATGGGGTTAGTGTCCCCAGAATTCTGTTCACTGTCATTTCTCAAGCTAGAGAATCAGCCTCATCTCAAAAGGGACATAACGGGCTTCCAAACTTCTTCCCTCAAATACTATGTCATAACACAAAGACAATAATAAAGTGTGTGCTTTGTAGGGGCTGGGAGATTTGGTGTTTTCTCCTTTGCCTGTGAAAATTTAAAATTTATAATCACCTTAGGGTCCTCCTAACTGTAGAGAAATAAACTTAGGCCTTAGATGAACGATCAGTATTTAAATCCTTGTGAGCAGAATACTATGGGTTTCCTATAATGCAACAGTATTCAGTCAATTCATCATTTCTCATCATGAATTAATTATGCTGAAAGCAATTATTAGAACTATTATTTAATCCAAGTATTAATTTAGAATGCAACCCCACAGTTTAGCCACATGCTTCTTATCATTTCTTTTTCAGGAACTCTAATTCTTATACTTCTTGAAAACTTGGTTCTTACTCCAAATTATCGTCTTCAGTAAAATTAAGGAAAGACACAGAAATAAACCAGTTCTTTAAATACATATCCATGCACTATAAAGATTAATGACTAGGTAGAAGGTGAAAAGCAGTCTAGTTAATTTCTTGATAATGAAGTTGAAATCACTGGCCCCTCTTTTAAAGATTAATCAAATAGTTGGAAAAAATCTTTCCCAAATATCCTCTTGGTACAGCATAAATAAGATTTGGATATATGTCATCTCCTCACTTAATGTTGTCAAAACATCCCACCGTAAGCAAAACGATGTATAACAAAGCCAATTTTACCGTAGGCTAATTGATATAAACAAGACTTAAGTTCCTAAGACATTTCATCACCTAAATGACATTGAACGAAAGGACCTGTACTTCCCATGTTTGATCCATGATAAAAGAAACTCTAGTATATGTATTTCCCACCACAAACAAAAAAGCTAAAGTTTGAGACCAAAAGCCATTTTGTTTCAGAATAACTGTGTATTTGTCAGTGTGACACAGCACATTTGAAAGCCATAATCATAAAACAAAAATTTATAGCCAGGGTTCAGGGTCTACATCTGTTTCTCTGGTTTGTGTACAGCAATTACCCACTGGACAATCCAGAAAGAAATGCCATGAATCATGCTTTGCAAACATGTTTGAACTGGAGAGTCTTGTGAAGAAAGAGCAGGCATCTCTGTGTAACAGTATTGCAGCCGGCCGTGCTCAAAACTGGTCAAGTGCTTTGTGTGATGTCTAAATAAAGTGGTTCTTACAGGCACAGACACATCCACCCCAGGCATAAGTCATGCAAAGTGCAGGCGCGCGGGGGAGGGGCACGTGGAGGGAGGCGGATACTGATTGTTTTACAAAGACACACCTGTCTCTTTCAAGTTTATTTTAAAATATATATTTATTTATTTTTACCGTTAATCTTCTATAAATCCCCCTTGCCACAATTCTGCCAGAAAAACAAATGGTTAGCACTGAGTACTATGTGTTTTGGCGGGGAAGCCGAGGCAGAGAGGTGTGGCCACCACAAGCCAGGTGGTGAGGCTGTTCCCACGGCTGCCACACCACCAGGAAGAGCTGCTTGGGTGTCAGTAGATGGGAGAAGTTCTAACGTTCATCAACACGCAGGAACTGCTTCAGGCCCTTCCATCTGCATACCTGCTAGTGTACCAGGACTGTTGATGTCCATGCATCTTATATCAGAGGACACCCAAGCACTTCCCAAACATGAACTTGAGAAGCGGCGCTATGCATCACTGCAGAGTGGGTCCTCTCAGAACCCCAAGAAGCATTTGTTTTGCCTCAAACACTTCTTCACCCTGAGTGTTGGCCACCGTGTCCTTCCTTCATTTGGCTCCTTTCTCCCCAGCTTCCTGTTTTCTCCAGTTTCTCCAAGTAAGTCTTCCCACCTGATTGCTTAAGAACATCACTCACTCCAGGACAAGGGGCACACTTCTCTCATTCCACACTTCTCAGTTGTTTTCTTTAGCACTTCTCAGCTTTTGCTGCGCATGACTCATAAAGAAACTTCTTAAAGCCCAACAGTTTCTGGTGGTCCCAACTTAACACTTAAATCCATCCCCTCCGGAAGGCCTCGGCACTGAGCAATAAGCTCCCAGCTGTTTCTCAGCTGACAGCCGCTGCCGCTGGCATCATCTCAATGATCAGCTTGGGAGAGACTTATCTTTGGCTATTTCCTCTGATTTACTTTCCTCCTTTTTTAATTTAGATTTTGTTAAAGTAATACAGATTCATAAAAACTCAGAGAGTCTAGTCTAGAAGATATAAAGTGAAAAGTATATATATAAATGTGTGTGTATGCATATATATATGTGTATATAAAATATCATCTGTCCAGAAAAAGTCCAGCCATTGTTAATATAATGAGAACAGTTTGTGTGGCCTTGATGTAACCTGGCAGCCAAAGAGAGGGGACTGGAATGAGCAATGACTGAACAATGATGACTTCACTGTACTAGTCAGTGGGGGCGGTAGATGCCCCCCACTGAGAGACCATGTGTGCTGTGCAGAAACTATTCAAATGATTCACTATGGACAACTAGTGAGTGACAGCTTCATCACAGTAACATGCTCGCTCATGCATCACATCTTGTGCAGAGTTTTTTTTGGCACAACATCAAATCACCCAGGTGACTCAGCCCCGCTACGGCCCAGATTTGGCACCCTGCGACTTCTGGCTTTTCTCAGAACTAAAATCACCTTTGAAAGGGAAGAGA